TTTATTATAAATCTAGGACTGCTGCCTACTTCCTTTGCAAGCATTTGACACAAAGCAAAAACAAAAATCAGCAAACAAAAATAAGTAATTCTTTCACATTTTTTGTGTGTGTGTGTGGTACGCGGGCCTCTCACTGCTGTGGCCTCTCCCATCGCAGAGCACAGGCTCCGGACGTGCAGGCCCATCGGCCATGGCTCACAGGCCCAGCCACTCCACAGCACGTGGGATCCTCCTGGACTGGGGCACGAACCCGCAACCCCTGCATTGGCAGGCGGACTCCCAACCACTGTGCCACCAGGGAAGCCCCACATTTTTAATATATTAAGAAACTGTTTGTAAGTACTAGTAGTTTAATACTCAAGCTGATTTTACCATGTCCCAAGCACTGTCCTCGGTGTATTAACTCATTTAACTCTTATAACAGCCCTATAAAATGAACTCATTTAATCCTTGTAAGATTCCTATGAGATAAATATATTTATTCTTTATAAGAACCCTATGAGATATTACTTCCATTTTACATATAAGGGAAGTGATGTACTTAGAAGGCAAATAACTTGCCCAAGGTCACAGAGTAAGAAAATGGAAAAGCTGGGACCTGAACCCAATCAGCTAAGCTCCAGAATCTGCACTCTCCCCAGTACACACAACTGCTGCCATGAAAGAGAACACTGCTCAACAAATTTGCTAGCCAGAATCATTTTTTTCAGTGAAGATAATATTTTTCCTAATTAAATAATAGTTTAAAAAGCAAACATATATCTCCCAAACCTCACAGTAGTCATTCAGAATTAGATTTTTGTTTTGTTTCGTTTTGTTTGTTTTTTTCGAGTGACTTATCATTTTGAGTCGTTTCTTATAATCTATTTTATCTTGAATATTTTTGTTTCTGAACCAATGCATTCTTTGATATTTCCATTGCTAGCTATCATTCATTAAGTTGTCTTGTCTGAAATGCTTGAAACTTAGAAAAAGAAACTACAGGGACTTCTCTGGCGGTCCAGTGGTTAAGACTCCATGCTTCCACAGCAGGGGATGCAGGTTCGATCCCTGGTTGGGGAACTATGATCCTGCATGTCACGCTGCGCAGCCAAAAACACAAAAGAAGAAAAAAGAAAAAGAAACTACAATGCAAACTTGAGTGATAAGGTAAATGGACAGCATCAGCTGTGGGTACCTTCTGGTATATAGGGATGGATGTATTTAACTGGGCCTGAAATTCCTCAAACTCAGCCTCACAACGCTTGTCACTAAGTAGCTGCAGGACATAGCTAGGCAGTCTCCAAGAAAGATCCATTTAGTGAATATATCTGAATGGCAAGAAATTATTTTTTATTCCAACTTCTCTGACATTTTTTCTTTGATTTTTGCAAAGTAAAACAAAAACAAACTAAAAATTCCTGAGTGAGTTAAGGTTCATAACTCCACCAAAGTATGCTTTGAGGGAAAACACACATTCCCTGTACATGTAGGTGAGAAAAAGTGGCACATTTTCCTTTAATTTCAGGAACCCTTGAAATGTAAAGAAAAGAAAATACAGTAGCTACATTCATAGATTCACAGAATTTTAGTCCTGAAGGCAAGAAGAATGATCTTATGGTCCAAGCTCCAAATATTAGAGGTCTGCTAACCAAAATCGAAACATCCCTCATTAGGCTCTAAATGTCTCCCACATCTGACCCCCAATCTGTAAGAATAATCTTCTCATACTCACCTGAACATCTTCGGCCTAACTGGAAGGCAGTTATACCTTTATTCTTTCTTTTAACAAACACTTATTAAGTACCCTCTATGATACTGAGCTGGGGTCTAGGAATAAGAACATGAGTATGATAAAATTTCTGCCCTCAAGGAACTCTCCTTTTGTGGAGAGATGGACATCAATAGTTGAAATGAAGTCTCTCAGCCTGAGGACATGAGGGTGGGCTCACACAGGAAGTGCACAGTTTAAGAGAGATAATAGCCAGAAGCTCACCAGGTGGAGAAAGGAGGAGAAAGCAACCCAGACAAATGGAAGAGCATCCCCAAAAGGCAAAAAAAAAAAAGTGTGAAACAGGATGGCATATATTGGGGGAGCTTTAAATAATTTGGGGTGACAACACCAAGGGATGTTGTCATACCTCCAAGAGAAAGGATGATGCCAGATCAAGTTGGAGGGTAAAGTAAGGGCCCATCGTCAAGGGCTACGTATACGTGGCTGAATATTTGGGCCCTATCCCCTGGTGACAGGGATCCACTGAGGAGATTCAAGCCAGGAAATGACACAACATTTCTCCTGCAGTTCTTCTGCAAGGGGAGATACCATATTCTAGCTTATGCTTAAGCCTCAGGTAGGAATTATGACCGCAACAGCATTAATGCCCATTCTGTCCTGGGAAGTCAGCAGCTAAAAGCAGGGTTCATGAAAGCAAACATTTTCCTGGCACCGACTATAGGAAACACACTGCTATTTTCAGTGGGGCGGTGTGTCTTTCTTGGTCTCTTTCCCTTAGATCG